CCCTGGCCGAGAGGTTACATGATTAACTCCCACATACAGTTAAACATATGACGGAGAGTCCAGGCCAATGAGTTAAATTAATCCTTTCGACTCCAACCTAATTTACCATAAAATGAAAACACGCCTCGTATAAACGCAAAGCGAAACAGACAGAAACATTTTCAAACCGAAAACATTCCAACTCCTTGTTTTTTGTCCACTAAGTTTTGAAAACAACCTAATAAATCCGGGTTAAAGTAAAATACACTAGCTAGGCTGTTATATCTGACTAAAACACCAGAATAGCCGCAGTAAAAGGTTAGCTCACTTATTTTGGGCGAAAACAATTAAACTATATTATATAAGTATCTATATGTATTGAATGTTGAGAAAGTATGAATTAAAACTAAAAAAGGAAAACTTAAGTGAACTGAAACAGCAATGTGGGACCGATTAACAGGTAGTTAAAGCCTAGAAGCTAACTTTGTCCGTTAGGAAAACTGGGAAGCAAAGTGGTTTATCAACGGCCAGGCGAGTGACAACATCAAAGCTAACATTACAATTTAATCTTTAAACGCGAGTTAGTAGAAAAAAGCATGTATTGAGGTTAATTGTGTTAACTTACCCGTCTCCGACAACGACACACTTAATGGCCTGCATCGCCTGAGAGAGCCAGTTAGCTTTAGCTCAGGTTTCTTTTCCTTTGTCCGGAACTGCTCGTTGGAGAAACGTCCAAATAGGATCCCGCTAAACACCACCGTTGTTTGCCGTTGAGCTCCACTGATGTTAAAACCCCGTCAGAGCGACTTAAGCTAACTTAATTTGCACTTTATCTAAACTTTCCTCATAAATCTCCTCGCAACATTCCCATGCTTTCGTGCGTTGGCTATGGGAGCAATGGAGCAAAACAGCGGCCACCACCCCTGAGGTAGAAAAAAAAAAAAAAATGTAGTTGGCCACCAGCAGATGGAGCATCCGGTACACTGGTGTTGTGCAATAAGATGGTAGCACGACCAGAACTGGTCGGGCGCGTCCACGCGGGAGGAGAAGCTTGCTGAACTCAACCTGTCTGTGTTGTTTCAAGGATCTTTCTCTTGTTTGAAATCAAACATTAAACACCAATAAAAAAAGGTTATGACCAATATGAAGAGGATTAGGGCCACTGAAAAAAATAAACAAAGTTAACTGATTTTTAAATATTATTTCGGTTTAATATGGGGAAAAATGTCAGAATTCTGACTTTAATTTCAGAATTCTGACTTAAATGTCCGAATTCCGACTTTAATGTCCAAATTCTATTTTTTTTTCTCTGAATTCTAACTTAAGTCTCAGAATTCTGAATTTAATGTCCTAATTCTAACTTTTTTTCTCAGAATTCTGACTTTTTTCTTAGAAATCTGACTTTTTTTCCCAGAATTCTGTCTTTAATCTCAGAATTCTATTTTAATCTCAGAATTCTGACTTTAATTTCAGAATTCTAACTTTAGTCTCAGAAATCTGACTTTAATGTCAGAATCCTAACTTTTTTCTCATAATTCTGCTTTTAATGTCCGAATTCTGTCTTTAATCTCAGAATTCTGATTTTAATCTCAGAATTCTGACATTTTTTCTCAGAATTCTGACTTTAATCTAAGAATACTGACTGAATTCTGACAGCTAACAAACACGTTAGAATAAAGTCGTAACCATGTCTATTTTAGAGATTAGCTCTCTTGTTTTAATCACCTTCTGCTCTTCCATTAATGAAATAGCATCACCGGGGACCCCTCGGGCACGTAAAAAGTTGCCTAATTGCATCATTCCCCCCCAATGTGTTACTGGCTCCCAAACAACTCACATCTTTGTCAGCGAAGCTGAGTGCTCCCACATATCTTCCTTCATGGTGTCCATCTACATTAAGATCCAAAATTCTGAGATTAAAGTCAGAATTCTGAGAAAAAAGTCAGAATTCTGAGATTAAAGTCAAAATTCTGAGATTAAAGTCAAAATTCTGACTTATTTCTGTTATTATACTGAAATAAAATTTTAAAATCAGTTAACATTTTTTTGTTTTTCCAGTAGCCCTAATCCTCTTCTATAGACCAAGTTTACAGAAAAGGTGTGTCTTTTTTTTTCCCTTTGTCAGTTTTACATTTGCTCTCATAAATATCTGCAAATTTACATTCTAAATGGGGCTATGTCACTATGTCAATAAAAATAAACTTTTGTCAAAGTATCTGCACTAGCTCACTAAAATATAGGACCATTCTGGAACGTAACAGTACGGTGAAGGATGCAAATAAAATACTGAAAATCATTTTTTTTGTACCTTGTTTTTTACAGGAGGTATCGATTATTTATCTTAAAAAATGAAAGTGCAGATACTGCACAGTGTAGTATGCCAAATTTAAAGGAAATGATATAGTTTATTCACACACTGAATAACTTCCCTTAACTGACAAAATTAGGCCAACCTAACGTGCCAATAAGAGGTTATGGTTTAATATATGAATACTGAAATGTAATTTCTGCCTAAAATTGCTTATATTAGAGATATTAGACTTTATAGATCTTGCTGAATACAGCCCTTCCCATACTAAAAATATAAAAAAAATAGACCCAATATGACTATTTAACCAGCCAAAAAGTTATTATAGGCCCAAATTTTCTTTTGAATTAAATTTGCATTAAAATGACTTTTTCTTCTGTCTTTTAGATTTTATCCTTCACATTAGAGTGTACTGGCTCCTTTGCATAGTGTTTAATATTCCCCAAATAACCCAAGTTGACGGAACCTTTTCAAAATATACCTGCAGTTTTCTTTTCTTTTTTTTTAATGATTTTTTTTCAATGCTTTTGTCTTTTAACATTTTTCCCCATCTTGTACCATCTAACTTCATGAGCTTTTTAAAGTAAAATGCAATAAGGTTTACACACAACCCCCAAAAATAAAATGTAAGTTGTACTAACGTTTTTTGTTTGTTTCTTTGTTTTTTTTTTTTATTGTATTAAAAAAAAGTTAATCGAGAAAGACCTTAATAATATCATTTTTATTGTGGATAATAGTGTTTGATTTCATAAACTAAATCACAGAGAATGACACCATCTCTGGCTCACCAAGCTCCTCCCACTCCGTGGGAACGCGCCCGATTAGTTTAGGCAGACATCACTTTAATGCATAACATCGGCCTGAACCGTCCAACTGTAGTCGCTGAAAGCTCATATGAAACAAAAAAAACAAAACAAAACAGATATTCATTATATTTTCCAAAAACATTTGGCCCATATGGAACACTGGCTTCTCATCACTTAAAACTAGAACATTTAGACCAAGTATTTGTAAAAATAATAATAATAATAATAATAATAATAAAAAAATACACGGACGGTTTAGGGTGTAACACAGAGAGGAAGTGACGCATGCGTCCCCATTGAGGAATTTTTTTTCCCCAGCTGGTATTCCCTGAGCTGTGCCTTAAAGGTACTACTTCAACCTCAGAGATCAAATCATTCGGAGATTAAACTGTCAATATACAAATAAATGTAAATGTATTGGGATTAGGTGGGAAGAATATTTATTAAAATAAACATATAATATCAGAAGTTTTGATTTCATATTCAGAAAACCACAGGTTTGTTGAGAATTGATTTCTCTTATGGTTTTATTCTGCTTTCTTTTTTTGTCCCAGATGTCCCCCAAAAACAGGAAGTTTCATTGATGGTAGCGCTGTTGTTGGCAGATAAAAAGAAAACAGAAAAGATGTGAACATAATGTAAATATTTTGGAGATCTTTTGCAAGGCGGAGGAAAAAAAAAAAAAAGAAGCCAGGTCTTCTTAATCACCGTCCTCTTCTTATGATTATTGGCGGGTGGCATCAAAGTTAAGATGCAAATAAATAAAATAACAAGTATCTCCATCTCAATTCCTGTTTTATTAAATGTTTAAAAGAAATGTGTTGCAAAAAAATAAAAATAAAATTACTAATACAATTAATGGTTGTACATAAAAAAAGCCTAAAATATAAAGTAAAGATGAAAAACATTAAAAAGAAATCAATAACAAGTAGTCTAGCTTATTTCCTTCCTGTGGCAGCTGAAATAAATTCAACCTGCCAAGGACAATGATGGTGCATTTCTACTCCTCCATCACTGAGTCAATCATCACCTCCTCCATCACCATCTGGTACACTGGTGCCACCGCCAAGGACAAGGGAAGACCGCAGCATGTTGTCCGCTCTGCAGAGAAGGTGATTGGCTGCAATCTTCCATCTCTCCAGGATCTGTATTCCTCCAGGACTCTGAGGCATGCAGGGAAGATAGTGGCTGATCCCTCGCACCCCAGCCATAAACTATTTCAATCACTTCCATCTGGCAGAAGGATGTGGTCCATCAGGACCAAAACCTCACGCCACAATAACATTTTCTTCCCATCTGTTACCAGCCTTATCAACAAGGCCCAGAGACCCCCCATGACACTGCCTCTCTCCCTCCCCCCGTTCAGAACCTAGAAGCTACACCAACATAGCATCTCCAGACCTCCTGCGCCACATTAACGCACAGCCTACTGTGCTTATATGTTTATATTATTGTTTTTATTGTTTTAAAAGCTGCACTTAAAAAAAATGAAATTGTCTAGAGAGCTGTTCTTAACAAAATGTATTTTTGTTTACACTTGTGTATAAAGAAATGACAAAATAAATAAATATAATTTATAAATAATAAAATAAAGTCTTATAGTACGTAGCTATATACTATATATTTTATATAGTATTGTATTTTCTATATTGTATATAACTATAGATCCTGTATTCTGTATATATATCTAATTTGTCTGCACTATTTAAACCAATCAAATTCCTCTCAAGTGCAAACCTACTTGGCAAGAAACTTAATTCTGATTCTGATTCTAATTATTCTTTGATTGAATGCTGTTTTCAGTTAATATAGTCTTACATTACTTATTGGATTTAATTTGTAAATGTAAGGACGTGCCTGCGAGTCCAAACTCAGGGAGTGAAAGCTCACATGCATTTTCACTTCCGTGTTGTGTCGGGTGGAGCAGCTCCGTCTGCCAGCAGCTGGTGTTTAAACATGGAGATGGGTTTCTGTCAGCGATAAGAAACCATGAAGGGTCGCGCATCACTTGCTGCTTAAATGGCATCTTCTCGCCAGTCCGCCTAACCAGCCAGCCGAGCTCCCCGCAGACCTGGCCTACATGGCGGGTCTGTCTTATCTGGTGCTTCGGTTCTCGGGCTCCGCTGGTCGGACCTACGGAGTGTTTTGTAAAGGCTTGACGAGGACTTTGTTGATATTTTTTGATCTGGCATGGCGACTGAGAATCAGATTCCCCTATATATACTTAGTGGCTTCGATGGTGTTTAATGTCAGACTCCAAGTGAGTATTCCAGTACTTCCTTCTTGTTTACCAAAACTTCTGTTTTTGCAGTCCTGCTCGTCACCATGCCAACTGCTACTTCAAAGGCCTCCGCCAGGATTTATTTTTGTTGTCATTGTGGTTGATGATTAAACGTCAGCAGGGTTTTTAAAGAAGCGTCTGAGAGCAGTTAAACTATTATTTCCTTTATTCTGTGTATAATTAGCTTAATAAATAGATAAATTTTGTCCCAATAAATCCCATTGTAGAGCTGGTATGGGCCCCTGTGCTAAAAACACACTGAAAAATTAAAATATAGATTTTTTTTTTGAGAAATAAGTGAGGAAACTATGCAGATGCAATAAAATGCTTTAAGTTTGAATTAAGAAAGCATCACCTTCCATTACCTTATTTCAAGGGATATTCATTTAATATCTGATTATCTAATTTTAACAGGTAAAATACCTATTCCTTTGCAGATCATCTTATTTACCTGCTAAAACTGAGTGCACATGCATCTTTTTCGAGAAATATATACTTATTTAGATCAGTTTTTGCAATATAATACTAAATCAATTTTGTTATGGTGTTATTCACTGACAAAAGAGACCAAAACCAATTTAACATAAAAAAAAATTGATGCAAAAAATGGATGAAATGGTTGAAAAAAATGTTAAGAACCATAAGAACTGTAAATATACAGTTATTTGTTTAAATTACTATTTTTTCTTTTTTTTTAATGTTTTTATTATTTTTTTCCAGACTGCACTTTAAAAAAATTAAATTGTCTAGAGCTGTTTTAAATGAAATTTTGTTTTGTATACACTCGTGTATACAAAATGACAAAATAAATCTGTCTAAGTATAAAGTCTAAGTCATTTAGCCTTTATAATTACCGTACACTTGGCTTTAAGTTTTGTTCATATTAAAATATGATCACAGTTTTCATCTGTTCAATGAGGGGTCTGCAACCCTGACTTTGCAGCTAGCTTCCTTAATATGCTAATCAATGCAGTGTTCTTTTTTCTGTGTGTGTGTGTTTGGTTGGTATTATTTTGCTAAACTTAAAAGGCAGGATTATGCCAGACTTCTCCAAATGATCTGGCCCTAAACTTTCTTTAGAAGTTGGCACTACAAGGCCTGGTTATTTGTGCCAAACAGGAAAACAAGCCCATTGCAAGTGATTTTTAAATGAATTAATCAGTTTTCCGGAAAAACGTTCTTCAGCCTTATTGAAAATTAAATGATTATATTTGAAAGTGTTTAAAAAAAAAAGCTAGAAATTCTCATAAGAATAGCAATATTATATCCGAGTTATGCCAGATGCTTGTTAGCAGCTTCAAAACTGTGCAAAGGGACATTTAACTATATGTTTGAAGGGTGACTGTAGACTTCAATTCTTAACTTGTACAGATCAGAAAATCAAACCTTTAAAATGTGTTGTTTTAAGAAATCTTTTAATTTAGCTGTTTAATAACCACACTCCCGCTTCTGTCAGTGAGCCTCAGGGCAGCTGTGGCTACAATGGAGCTTGCCACCATCAGTGTGTGAGTGTGTGCATGAATGAGTGAAGGAATGTAGTGTAAAGCGCTTTAGTCAAGTTTCCTGACTTGAATAAAGGGGCTATATAAGTACATGCTATTTACCATTTACATTAATGGTTAACAAATAGAAAACAGTAAAAAGGTTATTTATTGAATCTATTGTTTCTTTTCTTTAAATCTTATTAAATAGAAATGGTTAGTATACATAGCATGATACTACCACCACCATGTTTTACTCAAAGAAAGCGCAGTGTTGGTTTAAGGATCATACGTTTTTATTCAAGAACTATAGCTTAAATTAAAGACCCATGTTTTTTATGCTGTAACACAGCTTTTTAATATTTCCATATTTTCATGAATTAAATCTTAATCAAGTCTCTATCTTTTCACAGGTTCATATTGAAATCCACTGAAAACTTGTTTTACGTTGGTAAGTGAAAATCCAGGACTACCATGCTACAGCCACTGAAAGACAAATCCAAACTGTTTAGTCCGAGGAGAGGACACCCGATCCTGAAAGCTGGTGTGACAATGCATTACAGTGAGGCGGCCGCTCCTTTTCAGCGGTCGTCATTCGAGCTCGGTGCCTTTGCAGATGAAGGACAGAACGGATGCTTTTACATGTGAGACATGGTGAAGGGATACGCGCCGGGAAAAGAGGCCTTGCAGCTGCAGAACCGGCACTTTCTTTGGGAATAACTCGTGATATCAAATCATTGTAGCTGTGAAAATTTGTAGCTTACACTTTTTAGTCTGTCTATATGTCAGTCATGTATGTTTATCAATAGTGTTACATCTCAATACTGTAAACCTGGACACAGTAATTTACAACTGAAACATCTCAGCATGGCACAAACAAGCATGTTTTTCTTTGTCCTCAGTGACACTGAGGTTGGTTTTACCTAAGCAATGGTACACGCTGTCTTTGTGACGTTTACTTCAAATGGAAATCTTTCGAGTGCAGTAATATAGTGAGCGCCTGCTTGTCTTTTACTGGTGGTTGCACTTACAGCTCTTCACAGTCACTGTTTCTGCAAGATATAGAGGTGATCTTAGTTAAAAATGTATGCAAAGCATTTTAACACTACTCGAAGAAGTGATTGTGAGAATGATTCATTTCTGGGAGGAATAAATTAGTAAAACCACAGCTTTATGTCTTTGTGTAGTAAATGTCTGTCTGACTGGGCTAAAACTTTCCTTGTTGACAGAATGTATTTAGATCAATTCCTGTTTTATAAAATCTTTAAAGGGGAAAAGTTGTCTGTATCTAGGAAAAAAACATTAACAAATACAATAACTAGTTTGCTACATAAATAAAGCCAAAGAAAACAATGTTACTTATCTTTTCCCTTTTTAAGCAGGCAGTTGAAAGGTTCTGAGTTAAGAAGCTGACTGCAGGCCACCGGAACAGATGGTCGGGCTAATGGAGCTGCTAATAGCTTCTTGTACTACCTTATAAACTGCAAAAAAAAAAAACCAACTTTGTTGTGTTTTATGTTTTGGTATAAATACTTCGACACCATATAGTTTTGTGGTTTCTCAAGGATATAATGATATAATTCGTTCCCATTAATAAACTTTATACTGTTTCAGTTGCAATTAAAATACCTCACCTTATATGCTTTTAAAACACACATACATAAATGTTATATATATATATATTTTTGCATGTTTGTCACTTTAAGGGCTTCAAAATAGTTAAGAAAATTTATTTGAGTAAAGACACTGGTAAACATACATGTTTTCTCTATTAAGGAGGGGAAACAATCCAAACTGACATGCTCCTCCTTTTTTTTAAAGTGATTGCCCCTGAAAACTTCACCTCATAAGATCTATCTGTGGTGTAACTATTAGTTTCCCTCTACCTTAACTTTTTTTTTTGTCTATCACCAGAAGTGAATTTTTCCTTGTTCAGACCTCACTATGTCAGGGCAGCAAGTGGCCACAAGGGGGAGCCAGCCAATAACAAAAAAGATTTAATCTGTTCTTAACAGAGTTGAAAGCTTTCTGTTTCAGGTTGAATTTTTTTTTTTTTTTTTTTTTTTTTTTTTTAGAGAATGACAGGCATTCTAAAAAGCATCATAATAGATTTTCTATTTTAAAATCATAATAAGACAAAGTCCTCTGCTTAACCAAACAGTTTAAAAGCTCATCTATCTACCAGCTTCTACCAGCTCATCTACAGAGGTACAGGTCAAAGTGGAGGCAGTAGAATAAATCCTGTTAGGGCTTTCCCTATCACCGTCCTTAAAGATGTATTCGTTATAATGTCCATCTGGCTAACTGAGTCATTGCTTTAAAACATAACACACAAGTGGTCAGATGAGGAAACATCTGTTTCAGTCACCTTGGAAATGTTTAGACCCTTAGTGATGATCAAGCCCAAAATATGTCTTTGTTTGTGAGTTTGCTGTTTAACATGTTCAGTCAAACCAATATTTCCATGAGTTTTACATATTTCTATTGCCCTTCTGTGTTCAGCATATAATGGAAATGATCAAGTATCCCCCAATAATTAAACATTCATAATCAACACATATTACAGCTATGAGGTATTTAAAAACAATGGGGAAAATAGATTTTGGACTTAGGATGCTTCTGAATATTCAAGGACACAATAGTTTGAGAGGCCAGTATTTAAGAGTTAAATATCCCCAGAACGCCCCCACCCCCCCACCCCCCTTCTTTCCTTTGCTATCTGCCTTAATAAAGAAAGTTATAGTTGGGCAGATTAACTCAATGAGAATGAGCTCCTCGTTAAATTCATAATGTTTAGATTATGGTCAGAAATTGTCATTAATTAAAAATGATTTACCTGACAAATAGCCTATCTGATGCTCAGTAAATCAGTCAGTTTAAGACTGAGTGGCTGATATAAACTCTTCATCTGTCAATTTATTTCATTTGTTCTTTCTGTCATGTGAGATCATGGAATCTTTTACAACCATTTCCCATCAGGGGAACATGTTTTTCCTGGGAGAAGTTAAAGGTTCCAATTTGAAGGAAAACAATAAGGAGGTGGGGCTCTGTGGCCCTTTGGAAAATGCTTGTCTGGTAGCAGGGCCTGGACTATTGGGGGTTTTGAATGGGGAGGATATTAAGGTCAGGGTAAAGGTTAGAGTAGAAGGGGTATTACAGTTGGGTGTACTTCTACAATGCAATTTGGTAAGGAGTTCTTTTGTGATTATTTCTCTCTTTTAGCCAATTTCCTGGTTATCTCTGCCTCTGCTGGAGCTCTACGTGGCAGCCTTATCATTATTGTTGTTTTTCCATGCTGTTGTTTCTCATTCTCCATTCTCTGTTGAAGGTTGAAGCTACTGGCGGATAAATTACAGAATAGAGCAGATAAGACATGAAACTCATAGCTCCAGACTTCAGAGATCATCTTTCTTGAAAATGTGTCTTCTCCCCCCAAAATTATTAAAATTGTCGATGAGACTCTCAGATATTGTCATGCACACTTTTTAACTGTTTATTAATTGTCAAAGGTCAAAAAAGAAGATCTCATCGCCACAGAAAATTAGTGCAAATGGTCCACTGACCAAGACCTCCACCCTTATTCAGCAGATGAATGAAATCCTCCTTCAGTACATTATAGTTTTTCTTGGCAACGTCATACATGGCTCAACAAAGTATGGTGAGATCTGGTGCTCTTCTGTGATTGCCAGAATATTTCTGAGATAATAACCCTATGTTACTGATACAAATCATAACTTACAGTATGTTTTTTCTTGTCACAAAATGATTTAATCCAATTCACAGTTGTGTGTCCATTATTAGAGTCTGTGTCGCCGTTTCTCATGCAGCTTAGGAGGAAACTAGTTAGATTAAAGATTACTCTCATTCCATTTTTAGTTCTCAGAAGATGGATATTTTTTTCTTGACACTAAGCAGCAACAAGAGGATCTAACAGGGTGCAACGAGTCATAATTCCCATAGAAAATCATGGGTTGCAGAGTCGCAGCTTCTGCCATATGTACTTGTGAGGCGATATACAACTGAAACTACTTATATTAGATGGTAAATACTGTACAAAATAGAAAAAACACAAAAAAACACAATCAACCTAGAAAACCAGAACTTTTCTCAGAATGTAGGTTAATACAGAGATAAAGACGTTGGACATTTTCTCAATGACAAACCACCAAAAACAGTTTTTACTATGAAAAGTCTCCTGACTTGAAAAATAACTATGTAATTACAGGTCATGTACTAATTGTAAGTCAGTCTATTACTTAAATAACCTGTTTCTGGAATGTAAATATATGCAATGACAAAATCACCAAGTGTCTAGGTATGATGTATATAATTTAAAAAAACACTTTTGTTTATTTGAATTTACATGAGAGATGATACATATTCTACGGGATTTTAGGTGCCACGATGAAGATCAATATGACCTATAAAATTCAATCAAAGGCATGGAGGAGGAGGAGGAGAGAAGGAAGCAATGAAGGGAAAGAAAAATGTAAGAGAGGGAGGTGGGGTGGGGGTTTTATTTGCAGCAGTCAGTTTGCAAGCTTGAAGTAGGTCATACTAGAAGAAATGATGCAAATACAGGAATATTTTGGTACATGTTAGTCAAATTATGATTGATTCAAATTTAAACTTTCTTGTTTGCATTTATGAATAAATGTTATCCAAATTGTGTGTCTGATTTTGGATTCAAATATGATTTCACATTCATATTGTGAAGCTTTTTAGGATTTTTTTTAGGATCTTTGTTTTCAGGGATGATGTTGGGATGCTCTCATGATCCACAGCCTTTTGTCATTTTTGTGCTGTTGAGTGTATTTAATAATGATGCTTAATATTTATCCTTTTTGTATTTTTCCCCCCACAAATCTGAATATAACATATGTAAAACCAATGAGGCTATAGTTTGTAGTATGTTTTGTAACTGAGGCAGTTTCTGAAAGATTTATTCTTAAGATATTGAAACTCACAGCTTTATGTTCAAGGTCTCGGACAAACACTGCAGCCTTTGTGAGTCCAAATAAAGACTTCACTCATACGTGTCCTTGGATCCAAAAAAACCCCCTGAAAAGTCAGCTCAATATTCCCCTTCAGTCAGATGGTGGCAGGAAAGACGTGTTCAAGGGTTCAGAGCTATACTTTAAATTTTAGAGCAGAGAGGAGGAAATCCTGCTACTCTGAGCGTCCTGTGACCTGTGACCTTTGACACGCACAAATACACTGCACTGCCCTAAAAATCACCCTTCACAGCAGGAAGGAAATGCCCGGCCATATCCTTTCAATTGGCTACATGTGTCAAGTGATAAGATTTTTTTCATGACAATAAACCAATAAGTCCCACAAACAAACATTAATAAGAGTCATAATCTTGAAATTAAAGGTATAGTGTAGAATTTTCGCAAATGTTTAAAAAAGACCCACCCTCTCCACTTAAAAAAAGCACATGCACAACCATGTATCCTCTCCAGAGAGGGAACTCCTATTAAATGTGTGTGAGAGCATGCACAAGTGCATTTCTCCTTGTGCACGCTCTGTTTAAAAGTTGCTGTTTGCATCACTCATACAAGCTTATTTTCCAAAACCAGATTTGAAAATTTTCCACTATGTCAGACTTTCCACCGGTAAGTAAAAAATAGGGAAGAGCACATAGGATGGCCTTACATGAACACATCACCAGAATGATTGACAATTAGGAGGAGCATTTATTTTGATGATCCACTCGAAAAAAGAACATCCTCCCCTATACCATTTATCCAAAGGATCAAATCCTAAACCTTTCATTGGATGAATTCGATGAAATATAAGAAACATGAGGAGATTCATTAAGCAACAATACAGAAACACACTCTAACAGCCATCAGAGGATACATTCAAGGACAGTTATCTTACATTCTCATGACTAATGAGTGTTTAAGGTATTACAATATTTTCTAAATAATTTTTTATCAATGTTCATAAGGAATTAATCTGTCTCATTGGAATTTAAAGGAAAATTTTACCACTTAATTTTGGCTTAAATCTCTACTTTAGTGAGTAAATGGAAAGAAAAAGTGAGGGGTAAAAGTCTTGGAACCACTTTCTTCATTTGTCACCAGATTCACAATCAAAGAAAGAATTGAGCACGTCACTGTGGTTGGAAAGAGAGCTGTTACCTCAATGATGAAACCAACTGGGTCTCTGGTCATAGAGTTAAACACTGCATGACCATCGCTCAGGTGGGCGAACTGCAACACACACACAAAAAAAGAGCTTTTTTGTTTCAGAACCAGGTTGGATTCAAACAGAGACCTTATAAAAGAAAGCGAGTAGTGACACCAAAAAGTTTTTTGTTTTTGTTTTTTGCAATCATTTCTCTAAACAACAACGTGTCATCTTACTGAAGCAGAACTCA